CCTGGTACCTTGTTTTCCAATCCATAACATCTGACTGCTTCTCGGTAAAAAGATGTGAATCCAGGGAACCATTTTCCATGTAATCATAAACCAGCAGCTTCTTGTTACCTTCAGAGCAAAATCCACGAAGGCGTACAAGATTAACATGTTGGATTGTTCCGATTGTGCTGACTTCCGTTCGAAATTGCTTCTCTCCCTGGTTGATGCTATCGAGCCTCTTAACCGCAATAGCAGATGAATCAGACAGTTTCCCTTTGAAAACAGAACCAAAACCTCCACCCCCTAACTTCTCTGAGAAATTTTTGGTAGCATGTTGCAAGTCTTTGTAACCAAATGCCACCAATGAACCCTCCACTGTTTTTCCACTTCCAACAATATGCCTACGTCTTCTCTGGAATATAACAAAAAGAATGCCCAAAAGGACCACTACGATAGCAGCAGACCCCAGAGAAACACCAATTGCAATTCCCTTTTTACTCTTGGATTTTGGGATGTCAGATGCAGCTAATCTGACAAAGATCGTCTTGCCCTTACCCTCATTTTGTGAGAATTGCTGCATATCCAAGAGCTCACTGTTCCAAATTGAGCACGAATTGTCATAAGAATAAGCAGTGCAACTGCAATTATTCAAGCAGGTTGATTGACATTCTTCAGTGCTCCCAGCAGCAACAGGTTGAAATTTTTTAGGTACTTTCATCTGGGTATGCATCCAAAATCCATCTTTCTCCCCGTTAGTGTTGCCACATTGCAACTTCGTTTTCCTCTCACAGCCTCTAGAATAATCATTTTGATTCCAATCAGCCTCTGAACTGTGCTTGAAACCATCCAAACAATTACAAAAGGGCTGCAAGTTCTCCCGACAGGTAGCAAAGGGTCCGCAATAAGCATAAACTTCACATTGTGATCTTGGTTGAGACCAGAACAGATTCCACTGATCTGAATTAGTCAACCAAGTGAGTTGCTTTATCTGTCCAGAGACATCCATAATGAATCTTGAAATGGTAGAAGGATTATTAACAGAATATGTAAAATAGCTTTCATTCGGCTTGTCCTCATAGCTAAAATTGTAAATATAGTTGGCCCTCATCTCAGGCACCCCACTGAAAATTTGGCCATTCCATGGTCCACTGGTCCAATATTGCTCAGTTCTATTCCACCTTATAATATACTGGCTACCATTTGGATCCAGCTCAAGAGAAAACAACCCAGGTGAAGGATCTTCCAAGCTCTTCCATGATGTAAGGAGCTGCTTTCTTTTGGTGATTTTGTTGTAAGAAAGTTTAGAACCAGGCAACCAAGTATTGCCAGGGATATCAAAACTTTGCCAAAGGGGTGGTGTTGAATTAGACCCATCTCTCAAGATTAAATTACCATCATCTCGGAGAACTGCTACCACAGAATTGGACTTGCTAGAACTAATATTTGTGGACCAAATTGAAGTATTAGACCCATTAACCAGTACCAAATTACCATTCAAGATTTTTAGCTCTGCAGAATTTTTATCAGAAACTGGTGTTTCCCTGTTTGCAACCCAAACAGGAGTTTTTTCAGTCACTTTTTTGTACCATATGCCTATGTAATAGTTGGAACTATTACCTGGTCTGAAGAATCCCAGCACAAAGTTCCCACCTGAAGAGGATATTGTTTGGTCTCCAGAGAGGGATTGATTTGCAGAGATGGTGTCAGCTCCTAAGGAGAGATGGGTTTTGAGAGAGAAGCATAAGCACAGCAAAGAAAGGAATAAAAAAGAATTGTTTTTGTTGTCCATAGCTGCTCAGAGCTTACACAGAGGACAAAGCTATTATAGAACAAAGGAGATTTGCATATATATATTCTTAGTAGAAGCCATTCTTGAAGAATGGGTCAGTTCTTCAAAATGGACAACTTTCATATGACTGCTGGAAAAGAAAACTTTTGGTCTGG